TTAAACATTTAAGAGCCAGAGGATGCGAGCTCGCGTGCACAGTGAGAAGATTTGTGCGTGCGCTCATCCGAAGCACGCAAACCCACGCCTCAGAACATGCACAAATATTAAGCTCTCTCTGAAGTATTGTGTTTGAATGGACAAATTCACACAAAAATTGTCAAAATGCCCGTCTTGGTAAGTATCCTATTGCAGACATAGCCGGCTGAACGTACTTACAGTGTCTTAAAGTGACAGCACTTTCTTAATATTAATCAAACAGCAACAACAAAGAAAGCTATTGATTGAATAGCTTTTGTAACTTTAATAAAGATGAATCTTTAATTTATACAGTCAAATATGCAATGCTGTTTTACATTTCATTACTTTATTCAATGTCTGTACCTAAAAACTAATGTTAGACCTACCTAAAAAAAACAAACTGAAAATCACTGTTTATGTTATTTGTATCTTTACTCTATTGTATTTATTTGTGCTGTTGCTTGTAGTTAGATTATTCTTATTTTCTTTTTTTTTATTTGACAGTATAGTTTTTCCCTAAACATAGCACATACCGAAACGGTGACTCTAAAACCGTGATACAAACCGAACCGTGAGTAAGTTGATCCGTTCCACCCCTAATAAAGGCCTACACAAAGGCCACAGCATTGAAGTTACATACAGTGGGTACGGAAATTATTCAGACCCCCTTATATTTTTCACTCTTCGTTATATTGCAGCCATTTGCTAAAATCATTTAAGATGACGATATTAGTCTGTCGCCGATATATCGGCATCAGCGAATATGCCGCCGATATGAACTTTTTTTACAGAACATATAACGCAGATAAAATGCTTGAAATGGTGTAATTACTTAGTTTGTCCAGCAGAGTGCGCTCCATTGTTTGCTGCTGGCGACCTGGATGAAACTCTTTAAAGCTTAAGTCTATAGAAAACCATTGAAACTTTGAACGGCCATATCTCCCTAATCCGCACCAAATTCGGGGGATCCCTTCAGCTCGAGGAACCCTCTGGTACGCGAATCGAGTGTACGTCTCGAGGCCCTCTTTCGAATGAGACCACCCCTGTGTCGATAACCCCCGGGGTTCGGGAGTTACGGGCGGTTAAATTTGCGGGCTGGCGGATTTCTTTCGACTGCATGAACATATCAGTTGGCTTTAAATCTGCAATATTGCTGACTAACAAATGCATGAATGTGACCAGTTGGATATACAGTAACGCAAATAGATAATAACAATCATGATATTAAACATTTGGGTCGGACTTGTGTGTGTTTTGGTTGCATCGTTTGAACCGCTTGAGGTGCTACTAATGTTAGCGTCCTCTCAGCCTTTACAGCAAACATACTGTTTTCCTTTCTGCACTAATGCAGCATCTAGCCAACAAATGAATTACTTGGTAATGATATGAAAACATGCACTATATATAGTATACTGTATACTATAAACAAACTGCACGTGGTGTCAGTGATTCCACCTCTAGAGTCCACTCGCGTACTGTACAATGACAGCAAACACAATGGATATATTGGATGGATTGCATGGATTTTTGCCAATAGTTCCAGCAATCGACTATCAGTACTGATTAACCAATCAAATGGTAGCCTCCACGTTTTCCAAGTATAGTGTGCTGATGTATTTTTCATTATTGATTAGTTGTTGCTGCCCTGTATTAAACATAGACAGATGCTGATTTTTTTCATGTGCAAGCACTACTAAAGAAAATTTTAAGATTCTTCTATTGTTTTATGTTGTCTCGTCTTGCTGTTCATGGATGTTTGCTGACTAGGAAAATAACATAAGCCTGTCCACTCAGATGGTCATAGCTGAAGAAATAGTAAGAAATCACAAATTCGTTACTGTCTTAATAGACTTTGTTTCTTCAAAACCGCACCAAAGCCGAGTTTTCGGGCTGATATTGGAGTAGGCTGAATTTCTGGGTCACACGCTGTCTATAATTGGCAGTGTAAACGGTACAATCTGTCCCCAAATTTAACTGCACTGCTGAGTCAAGAAGCCTGTCTGTCTGAAGAGTAGGGCGATGCGATTAATTGAAATCGAATCGAAATCACGATTTGAGACGTTGCGATTTGCTAATCGCAAAGCCTGCGACGTGGACGCGATATTACTCCGTTTCAGAGCATATGCATGACTGCCTGCCTTGAGTTGCAGTCTTACTTGCCCTGGGCACGAGTGAGCACACCTCCGTTCTCCCCAATCAGCACTGCTCTAGCCAACAGCGTAAACACCCACCATTAAAAAAAAAAAGCGGGACGTGAGAGTGACAGAGTGGGATTATGGCGTCTACTGGGTCAGATCGATAGTTAGGCAAATTAAAACTAAAGAAAAACGTATGCAACTTAAGCTTCAAAATGACAGACAATGAACAAAAAAGGTAATTTGCAAGAGCTGTGTCACAGCGCATATCAAGAGCTCCCTTATCGTCTCCACGAGCGCATCTGGCAGTATGGACGAGGCTTGACGCACGCGCGCAACCTGTGTCGACTCGCGCCTGCCTCCGCGTTTAAAACTAATGTAAATTCAGTCTAACTGCTTTGCTAGTTTCACTTGGATGAAATGAAACATTCAGCACATTTTTCACTTGTTCTTAAAATCCCAAATACTTCAAATGAATAAATCAGCCTATGTAACATATGTAATACTTTAATAATTGACTTAAGAAATACAGTTCTTATTTATATATTTGTAATTAAGTTAATTCTGTAAAAGTAGTTATACCATTATAATCTTGCCTGCTGAAAAAAATCCCAATAGAACCCCTACCAAAACACTAAAATCATTTATGGATTTCAGGGTTATAATGGGAATTGTATTGGTTTTAATGTAAACTATAATGGTGTCTACTAGTATTTGATGGATTCTATTGGTGGGATGTAATCTGGCAGATGGCAACCAATAGAACGATAATAATTCCTATTGGAATAATGCCCAAAACAAAAAGGAATTTTGTGATGGTTTAATGGAAACTATAAGAATTTATGTGATGGTTTCTATAGTTTTTTTCAGCAGGGTAATGATACTCGTACTGTGCTGCACATTATTGACAATATTGAGCTGAAGCTTGACTTTGCACATTTAAAATCGCAAATCAAATTGCAATGTCAAAAAAATCGCAATTTGATATTTTCCCCCAAATCGCACAGCCCTACTGCAGAGACACAGTACCTCTAAATCATCCCAGTGCAGAGGTAATGTTTCAACTTGAGACTTTGACTCTTTTAGCCCTCGGGGAAATGCCATTTTTCATTGCACAACTTTAGTATGAAAGTGAAACACTGGTTTCAGAGAACAGCATTATCATCTGGGAAACATCAAGGCTGGATCCTGCCTGTGAAACCTCAGAGAAGTCTGCGTGGCATGTCGAAACGAATGCTAGCAGAAGCTTTTGTCTGGGCCACAGGCACTTTGGGGCCAAAATTCAGCTTCACATCTGTGTCACCCTGCTTTTGGTGTGTTTATCTGAACGTATTTGTGTGAGTCCAGATGAGAAAAGGATTTGTTTTGTGTATGGCACCTCTGATTGTGCATTAATTTCTCAGTGCCAACAAAGGTCTTGCACAAGGAGGGGGTTCACTATCATCAGTGGGTTCTAGTATCTTCTGCTAGTTCCCCAACAAATTTAGTCTAGCGGAACATAATAAACGGGGCTCGTGTGATAGCAACAGGCTGTAGATAAAGGTTTGGAGCTAGGCCCGTTTGCCAGTTTATTGGCTAGTCTCAGGTCAGTCGCTCACAGAGCGAAATGGAATAACTGGAATAATAATTTACTGAAATGAACATATCAGTGTGACCTCTTTTCCACCTTCAGCCCATGTTTACATTATATCCAATTAAACTGGATAATTTCCCAAAGTTAGGTCATTGCTCAAAGTTTCTATGGATCTGTTTAACTATTAAAAGAATAGTTCACCCAAAAATGAAAAGAACTGTCATTGTTTATTCACCCTCCACTTTTTCCAAACCTGTATGAGTTTTTTTCTTTTGTTGAACACAAAAGAAGATATTTTGAAAAATGTTGGTAGCCAAACAGTTGATGGTAGCCAGTGACTTCCTTAGTATTTTTTTCCCATACTATGGAGGTCAGTGGCTACCATCAGCTGTTTGGTTACCAACATTCTTCATAATATATTTTGTGCTCAACAGAAGAAAAAAACTCTTACAGATTTGGAGCAACTTGAGGGTGAGTAAACGATGACAGAATTTTCATTTTTGAGTGAACTAAGTTTAAAGCTGGAATAAACAAGTTTTAAAATCTGAACATATATACTAACTTTTAATATGGTACAGAGTAAAACTGGGCATTATACACTAAACGACTGATCACAAACTAATGCAGAAAAATGTGCCATGTTTCTAGGAGATATATGACAAATGAAAATGTGTTCTAAAATCAGCCCAAAATATTAAACGCTTTTGATATCCACCGAATGGATAAAATCAGTGTCTCAAGCTAAAAAAAGAAAGTCTGTGCCCAACATGTGCTACACTATTTTTTGGGGCAATCTGCCAATTCCTGTTTTTAGTTGATATGTCAATGATGACTTCTACAGGAAGTGGTGCTTCATGAATTTGTTTTGTAAAATAACATTAGGATGAATTTTTGTCCTCAATATTATGTCAGTCTTCAGCCAAAAAGTGCAAGTACTAGTTTTCTGCCCTTTAAAATGCACACAGCCCTGCTCTGTATGTACTGCAGTCCACATGGATTTGATTTCTATTAGGGCATGTTTTACATTAGGTGTCTCCTGCATTTTTGTCGTCTCAGTTCCCCTTTATTTTTTCTTTTGGAACGGAAGAAAAGGAAATCGTTGTTTGCCTTGTAAACACAATCAGACAGAGGAAGTGAGTGGCTTTTAATAGAGCTAGACACACAGATGGGAGTATCCAAGCCCATTAATCGTCCTGCTTTTGAAGTATATCTAGAGAGTTACAGTTCTTTTCCCATTATTTATTAATTTTACCCTCTGTTTCTTTACACAGGCTGGTTTTTGGAAACCTCTACCCAGCGTACTGCTCTTACAAAGCAGTGAAAACCAAAAACGTCAAAGAATACGTAAGTAGAAACGCAGTGTCTGTTCACGTACAGTTCTGTTGGTTGTTTTTCATTTAGCAGGCATTTGATTTTTCAAACCAACTTGCAGTTTGATTGCTACAGGCTCAGTCTGCTCTGAAATAACCTGAGCTTAAGTATCCTGCCCAAGGGCTCAGTAGTGATCATAAATCAACACTTCTACAACTTTTGTGTTACTAGCCCAGATTTTTAACTGCTAAGTCACACCACTCCTTGAAATGAGATGTGAACAGCCCGGCACATGATTGTTTCTGTGCATGTTCGGGCATGTTGGGAGGCAGTGTGTGTTGACTTGTATGTCCGGATCAGGTGACACGTTCTCTCTGCACTTACTTGTTTTAAAGGACCTGCCCTGTGAGAACCCATCCTACATCCTCAGGAGAAGGTTCAATGCAGGTGTTACGCTGAAACGCTAATTCAGGTCCAGCCAGAAGCAGTGTTATTTATAGTCAACAACACCTTTAAGCAACATTGTAGTGAACCTGCAAAGCAGGATATAATGGCGAAAAATATGCAGAATATGGTTTTGCCCCATTGAGGCCAAACCATAATCTTCTATCAAAGTTCCCTTTGTTCTTGTAAAATGATTGTAATGGTTTTTAATTTAAAAATGAAAACTGTGTTTTTAATTTTATTTACTTACTCTCCTGTTGTTCAATGGAGCCTAAAGATTCAGATGCTTTCCTTTTGTGTTTCATGGTTTGAAACGACATGAGGGTGAGTAAATGAATTTTTGGGTAAACTATCCTTTTAAACATTCCTTTTACTTGGCTGTCATGCCTTTGTTCTACTTCAGACAGCTAATTTTAGGTTTCCTTAGTGGTTGTACTGGTGGTATTTCAGTACCCTAGTAACCTTAGAGTCTGTTTGTATCAGTGCTGCATTGCAGTGACTTGAGTTACTTCTACTGTGAAATGCATTCCCCTCTACTTAACTTGTAGAAGCTACACCAGCGCGACCTCTCTTAAACAGGACTGTTCTATTTGTCATTCAGTATTTCAGAAAGTCCTAAAACTTTGGAAAATACATTATGAAAACATTTTTTTTTCTTAACATTGCTGTAACAGCCTGCAGCCAACATTGGTTTATCAACACAGGTGTTTTCTGTTTGTTTTACGTTAACTGTGGTCAGTAAGCATATATCAGTAAATCTATATACACAGGGCATCGACAGTAATGATTTTCTGAGCATTAACATTTTCTTAGAAAATGGTTCCTGATGAAAGTCTTCATCTGTTGGAAACCACCTAAATACTATGCAAAACTACTGTTAATTTTATCAGCCATTTTTAATTTAGTCCCAAATGACGCACTATGTACTTATGCGCTATGTACTCAAACATGTAGTGTATGAACTATATAAGGTTATTTTGTCATTCATAATCAGAGTCTGATAGTCCCTCCCCCTTCGATACGTAATTAAAGCTGCGACAGTTGAGTCCATGAAGTGTCCAACATTCCAAACTTAATTTTTTGGGTAATTTAAGTGTGTCATCCGAGTATTTAAACTGCGCTTTTTCTTTTTGGAATTTTCAGTGAACGCACTACTCTCACTATTTATACTACAAAACGTCATAGAATAGTGCATAAGTATGCGGTTTGGGATGCACCTTTAGTCTTAGTCTTTTAAATTAGTCTTAGTCCTGTCAAATGTACTTTTTAGTTATTATCCTATTTAGTCAACCTTGTCCCGTTTTTGTTTAGTCATGTTTTAGTCGACTAAATGTCTGAGCATTTTAGAGTAGTTTTAGTCAATGAAAACTTTTGTCACATTTTTGTCATGCTGTATAATGGTTGGTTTAATAATCATTTTGAGCAAAAAGTTATTATTATTATTATCGCAATGATTGTTGTCATTTGAGAAATTTAGTTTTGCATTCGCACGGGATAAGTGAAGCCTGTGATTCTTACTCGAATTTACTGACTTCTCTCCCAGATGTCAAGGCTTTGAAAGTCCCGTTCTATAGTCCAGATGGATAAAAAAAAAAAAAACTAATATAGTTTCATGTGCTGTGTCATTTAAATTTCACCAGGTTAAAATAATATCTCAAGCTTTATGCTTGATTTATTTGTAACACATTAACCTCAAAACCTTTTCAGCTTTCTCTTTCTGCAAATTGTATGGTGTAGCAAAATGATGACAGCACCCAAAATACTATCAAACAATCCAACGCAGCTCCATTCTTCTCGAAAGATGGATAAAAAGGTGCACAGGAAACAAAAACCTTGAAAAATGATGTACGATCTGCCAAATGCTGGCCGAATCACAGAGATGCCGATTCGCACGGGACTAATATTATCACAGGACCTCGGTGTTCAGCAAAATATGGTTGGTCATTTGCGGGGGAATTTTTACTTTACAAATGACAGACATGGCCGATTCCCACCGGATTAAGAGCACAGACAACCTCCGCAATTATTACAAATTACTGGAGGTCACCAGGTAATACTAATCCCGTGCGAATAGGGCATAACATTATGAATGTATCATTAAGAACATTATGAAAACAGTTAAAAACAAACAAAAAATATTATAACAGTGAAATTCTTCCAAATAGTAATTCCAAATTGCAATAATGTTTCTCTATTAAAACAACAGCAGTTGAGTAAGTGCATTTATTCAGCAACCACAATCGCAAACAAAACCGTTGAGTTCTCATGACAGAACACAGAGAGAGGCTGAATGACACTTTCATTTAAGCTGAACATCTCATATGGAGATAGCTAAACTGCAGCTTACTTTTTTGATGGTGTTTTCAGATCATCGTCGGCGCTTCCGCAATGAAGAGCGAGCGCATGCGCATGGTTACCAGATTGCAGAAATTAAGCAAAACGCCTGGCCTAAAATCCTTTTAACAGCGAAGCTCTGATTTGGGGATTTGAACTTTTGATATCTGGCAACCGCACGCATGATAGTTCGCGTAGTAGAGGCATGGCCGCAATATTTTGTCGTCTCTTTTTTTTATTTTTTACAAAAGTTCGATTTTGGTATAGTTTTAAAAAAAATACATTTTAGTCTTGTCTTTTATCGTCAACGATATTGCATGTTGATAATAGTTACCGTTATCGTTTATTGACCTTATTGTCATCTCGTCATCGTCTAGTTTTAGTCATGGGGGATAAAAAGCTTGTTAACGAAATTAACACTATGTAAAACATTTCAGATTTAGACACTGGGAACAGAACGAGGATATTCTAAGAAAAGCTTGCTTAAAGCAATGGTTGATGATGGGCATGTTGAGTATGATGGATATGTTGTTAAAAATATAAAATCTATGATTTTCCGTTAAAAACCAGCAGCTGTGTTTGCCAGAATCTTACTGTAAAAAATGGTAGCAACATTTAGGTTTTTATATATTTTAAATTTACAATAAAAAAAAACATATAAAAAAACATAAATTTTTTAATAAAAACATATTTTTAAAACAACATACTAATTGATATAATGTTAATATACTGAAGAACTTAAAGAGATAGTTCACCCAAAAATGGAAATTTGATGTTTATCTGCCTACCCCCAGGGCATCCAAGATGTAGGTGAAGAAACAAAGTTTCCCAAAGTGGGGGGGGGGGGTGAAATATCCCTTTAAATCTGTTTTATATCTTTATAATGTACTGAAAACCACCACGATATAACTGACTGCGTTTACCTGAATGATTGTCGAGATGAGTATTTTGTCATAATTTTATGTGTGTGTGTGTGTGTCTGTTCAGAGGATTCAGAAGAGGATTCAGTTTGGTGTTCGTGCACCGTCTGAAACGCGTGTGCGCGCTTCATGTGTATGCGGCTGTGCGTGTAGAGTACAGCGTGCAAGTAATTAATCGAGTTCCCTTTCGCCTTTTCTCTCTGGAATTGTTTAAAATTCGCTTGCTTGTGTAAATACGAACAAATTATAAACTTATACTCTATTATGGTTACATTTTGCAATTAATCAGCGGATCACATGCGTGCCGAACCGTGGGGCTTGGTCCGTACGGATCACGGATCAACTACGATCCGTTTAACCACTACCCAACATCACGGATGTTTATATGCTTTGCTGGAATGTTGAATGTTCCTCAATCTTCAAGTGGAAAGTCAGTTTCGGTAAACTTAGACTTTTAATAGCAAGCCCTTGGAAAAAAGAAGAAAGCTCAATCAACCACAAAAGCTGCTTTTTAAAAACATGCCATAAGCATTTCAGCGTTTGCCTTTTGAGTTCAGACGGGTAATTGAGAAACCTCTTTCAAATAATTTTCAAAATAGAACTGGACAAATTATGCTTTGTGTTGCAAGCCTTTTATAGGGCCGGTGGACAAAGCCTGTGTTTACTAGCATAGACTAGATGCTCTTAGAAACCACACTGTGGTTTTTCCACTCTGAGCAAATCTGTACAACGTCTACAACTCCTGTTTGTTAGATAAACAGATTGGTCAGCTCATATGTCTCACTGCTCAGTTTAAATGTTGAACAAAGAAACCTCTGCTTGGCACATATGCGGAGCAGGAAAGGAATACGTCCATTCACAATCAGGATACTTCAAAGGGATTTTTCCTTTGGAAATCAAGGCTACACAACTGCTTATCCACATGCAGCGCTGAACAGGAAAGTCATGCTTGTCTTGGGTGCCGGCCCATTCTCGAATCGCCTTCAACCCAGTTCTTTAAACGAGATCGAACAAAGCGGTGGAAATTCTGCTTGCATCTCACATGCTTCTCTAATTGAAGCCAGGTAATTGCAGACTTGTAATAAATAGGATTGTCTGGAGGATTATGGGAGGCAGGCTTCTACTTCTGATTAGATTTCTTGCATCGATGCAGTCAGCAACCAACGCGCTCCGCGCTACGAGAAAAGATCACCGCTGGTGGATTTCGATTGATGGTTTGTCACGGAGCGGCAGCTTTCCTGTGGCTGATGCAACACATTGATCTCTCTCAGACCGCTGAAGGTTCATTGGGAGGCCACCAATTAAATCTGACGCCTCCTGTCAAGCTGGTAATGCTGCCTCTGCATGGATTCTTTTGACTTTGTTCAGTGAGGCTGAAAATATCACCTAATACCTCCGAGAGCTGCAGCTCAAGGTTTGGGATCACATGACTGGCTGCACGGGCATTTGAAATTGAAATGCTAAGAAGCTGGCTGAAAGCTCGCTGTGGTTGGGAGCAGAGGAGAGGTAAAGCATACCAAACAGGTCCTGCTGCAGAGAGAGACACACAGAGAGCTGGGATGGAAATTAATGTCACGGCCATAATGATTTTTTGTTACACTCGATTGTGTTTACGTCTCCTAGGAAAAGAGGTGCGCGCCACTCTGTGCAGAAAGAGAAAGAGGTTGTCTCTACTGAACAGAAAAAAATGCATGGATTTTATTAAAATATTCTTTAGCGGGGTACCGGGTGTTTTATGTTGGAGTTAGTGTGGCGCATCTACTTGCCTTGGCAATAGGTGATCAGTGCTGCATTAATAGTAGCACTTGGAATGAACAATATATCTTTGCAGTGTATTGGTATCATTCAGTTTGAGTTTTTCTTTGTTTGTTTTAATTGCCGTCCAGCTGTTAGAGGCAGAGACAGCTTATTCTTTCACCTCAACTTAACAGTAGATCATCAGTCCATCATAGAGTACAACAGTTCCTGCCCACTTTTTCATTGGCCTTGGTTCCGGAAGTATGTAGAAGTGCCCATAGGGATTTTAAGTCTTTGTTAAAGAGTTATAAGCCGTGAATTAAACCAAACAGCTAAGAGGTGAATCACAAAATTACAAACTTTAATTTAAAGCAAAAAAAGGATTTATAAATCGGGCCAAAAAGTACAAAACTATGTATTTAATGGCTTAAATGAGGGAAAGAAGTACAATTCCAAGAAGCACTGAGAATGACTTAATTGTTAATTGAATATTGAAAATGGAGGAATATTGGAGAAATAATGTATTTAAAGATTTTAAATATATAATATAGTTTACATTTATTGGAAAATTTATATATATACAAACACACTCAAATTTAAATAGAGAGTGTAGGGAGACTTGGTTATGTCATTTGCAGTGCTTCATGGGAGTGGGTGTGTGCTACAGAGATTATTTTTTGCTGAATCATGGGTAATGTAGTTTTTCATCACGAATGGGGAAAAAGTTGAAGAAAAATGTGAAAGTTAGTTGAAATAATGCAGGCTGTTGGCTTCTTAAAAATCACATACCATTGACTAACAAGCTTGTAGTAGGTCAGTCTTTAATTTCCCACGGAGAAAGCAAATGGGATTTTTAATTCCAGGACCAGACTGTTATACTCTATTACGACAGGCTCTCCGGTATACTTGATTGTCAGTCTCAAAATTTTGTAGTCAGATTTATTGGATGACTATAAACTGTAGATTTGATCATTATCATTTACAGTCAGTTTAAGAATAGCTGTGTTAGCTTCATGTCTCTCATATCACTCCACAGGCTTTTTAAAAAAAAATTTTTTTTATGTATTTGGGAAGTAATGGGGGTACTGTACAGGGCAATGATTACGTCATGTCAATATTGACCAATTTTGACCAGGGTTTATTTTACGACAGTGGCCAGTTTTTTGTGTGTGTGTGTGTGTGATGGTTCATATCTATATTTAAAAAATAATAATAATAAAATTAAATATGAACAAATATAGGTTATTAAAAAAAAAACTTAATAATTGATTACTGTATAGGTCACATTTTCTATATCAGTGCACTTAAATCAAACAATGTGTTTAACAGTTTTTTTTTCTGCGGTGTGTGTTTATTCCTAATTTAGTACATGAATGTGTGTATTATGCAATCCTCAGTGAAAATCACATGTGTTTTGTTCCTTTTTCAGGTGCGATGGATGATGTACTGGATTATTTTTGCCCTGTTTACAGTAGTGGAGACCGTCACCGATCTAACCGTAGCCTGGTGAGTCTGACGCCAGGAGTCTTCCTTCACTCCAGCGACGCATTTACCTGATTACAAGTGATTCATGTCAGGCTAAAGAAGCAAGCCAGTTCATTTAAGAGCTTGTTTTTGTTTCCCTAGACAAAGGAATGCAGGGAAGCAATCAGGGTTTAATGAAACGAAGTTGCCGTTTTAATTTAGAGTAGCACAAATTAATTTGTTGGAATACAGCTTTAATGAGTGTAATTATGTTAGATGATTAATCAGATGTAACGTGGGTCATCATATCTTACTTTCTCCCCTCTGATCTGAAGGTTTCCCCTCTATTACGAGATCAAGGTTGCGTTTGTGATCTGGCTTCTGTCTCCCTACACAAGAGGAGCTAGTGTCATCTACAGAAAAGCACTTCATCCTCTGCTGTCCTCCAAAGAAAGGGTGAATCTACGCTTCATACACTGGTTTTGCAAAGCATTTATCCAAATATTGTATTATTATTCATTCATTTGTGCTTTCGTTGCATAGGCTTTGTCAACAATAAAACATATGGAGGGCTTGTTCTCCTCCTCTTTAAAATAATATATGGCTTTTTTTTCTTTTTTTTTACCTCTGCTGTTCTGCGACACTTTTAAGAACAGACCAATAGTTGAGAACTACTGATCTGGTTCTTCTTTTGCAGTAACATATATTTACATATTTTATTGTTTGATTATGTGCTTGGTGATCAAAAAGTGCTCAATCTTGCCCTAATGTTCCTGAAGGAAATTGACGACTACATTGTCCAGGCGAAAGAGCGAAGCTATGAGACCATGGTGAACTTTGGCAAGCAGGGCCTGACCATCGCTGCAACTGCTGCTGTGTCTGCTGCTGTCAAGGCAAGTGTGTGTGTTGAAGATAGACAAACAGAATGAAAGAGCGCTGTTTTGAACAGTTTATATATAGTTCTGCCTCTGATATGTAGGTTTATACTGTGTGGGTCAACATGAATTCAAAACAGACCATATTTGCTTTCTTTAAGGGATAGTTCATCCAAAAATAACCTAAAAATGTGATGTTTATCTGCTTACCCCCAGGGCATTCAAGATGTAGGTGACTTTGTTTCTTCAGTAGAACACATGATGATTTTTAACTTTAACCGTTGCAGTCTATCAGTCGTATAATGCATGGCAATGGTAACAAAATCTATGAGAGTAAAAAAAACCTGCACAGACAAATCCAAATTAAACCCTGCGGCTCGTGACGACACATTGATGTCCTAAGACACGAAACAATCGGTTTGTGCCAGAAACCGAACAGTATTTATATCATATTTGACCTCTAATACAACACTATGTCCAACTGTCATTGGGCGCGTGCACGGCATCCGGTGCGTGAGGTGTGTATGCGCTCTGGGGTAGTTTACGTTAATGGGTGTGTTGATATCCAGCTGAAGAGCAATCAACCATAACTTCAGGCGAGCAGGCTCAGAAGTTGGGAATACGTGGAAAGTCACCACTCCCGAATGAGTTCGTGCGAGAGAACATAATCTTTTATTTTTAAGTCGATTTGAAAAATCCGGATAAGTGCAAGTAAGTACCATTTTGATTAGCCATCGTACCTAC